GGTACGTTTACCCTATTTTACGCACTATTTGTGCGTGCTGTGTATTTTATGTTATGTGCTGCATATTTTATGTTATGTGCTGCATTTGTAGGGCATTTCAAATCAGCCACTTGTAAAGTTCCATATCTGAAGGTAACTGGCTGTGTAGAAAATAGGCAACAAGGCAGCTCACTTTGTTTTGGAACAGACCCATTGTTTCCCACAATTGCACTTCCTTCATAAATGTATTTACACTGGCTCTGTGTCAGATTAAAAATGTAAATGTAAAAAACATCTGTGTAAATGCACCTTTGTTATATAATTACATCTTCAGATTTGAATTCTGTTATTTTACAGTGTACAGGCAGCTTTAGAGAAAGGCACTATCTTGTCTGCATTCATGATCAGATCAACATGTGTTTTAACAGCATAAATCCTGAACAAAAAACCTAGCGTTGCTTTGTGCTGAAGTCATTCCGTGTGATGAAAGCCGACTCACATCTCTCATCTCTGTGATCTAGACCTGACGAGACCTGACGGCGTGTGTTCTTGTCATCGCTCTTCTGTCCTGATCAGACACCCACTGTTTAATGATAGTAAATCACAACAGTCCGGATATTCTTCCTCATGGCCACACGCGCTATCACATGCTATTCCATGTGGAAATGTAAGTGTAAGTGACATAGAGGAGATGATAGCCATCCCACATTAAATCTGTTAAAGCCATATAGCGCTCATATTGATGGCCCTCAATGCACACTAACAGGATATTAATAATGCTTGATCTTTCTTATCTATACATTTCAGAGACTCTTAACTAGGGCTGGACAATAATTCAATATCAATATGTATCGCGATATAATTTTTTTCAATAACGGGCCATATCGTCCAGCCCTACTCTTAACACATTATTATATCAGTAACTGTCATAATCAAGTCTGGAGGCTAAACAGAGAGATGAACACGGTTTGAGTTTTAGCCCTCTTCATTTTCTCAACTGCACAAACACACACATACACCACCACAAATGGGTCCAGATTGAAGATTGCGGTCATATTAAACCTGCTTCCTCTTCTTACCGCAGACACACACTTACACACTCGCTTTGGCTAATTGAGGAAGCAAGCTGTTTCACACCGCATTGCTTGGAATGATGGGATTAAATGTGCCAATTGATTGATGTGGTACAGAGTTGCAGATCTCACCTGAAGTAAGAGGTGAACAATCTCACAAAATGCTGACTGTTTCATTTGTGATTAACCACAATGTTAGTGCCAAAAAAGATAAAAGAATATCTAAAACAAGGTGTCTTGCTGAAAGCTGGGTTTTTGAGATCAGACCTGAAGGGAGGGTGGTGAATCAGAGAGTCTCAGTAGACATTTTCTGCGCTCTATATAGGCAACTACCGTCTAAGGCGCCTTCCTCATTGCAATAGATGATTTGAGATGGTCAAGATGGGAGAATGCTGATTCCAATAGAGTTTAGCCTTAACAAATGTTATTTAGCTAAGAACTCTAATTCAGGGTTTTCCAAACTGGGGTTCATGAACCCCTGGGAAAATCACACAGAAACTGCAGAGGGTTTGTGAGCTAATGAAAAGCTAATAATTAGCTAAATAATAAAAAATGTACAATTAAAATGAATAAATTTAAATTAAAAAAAATAGTTAAAATGAAACCCAAAACTTAAAAAAAAAAAAAAAAAATTTTATTTGTTTACCTGTATGTCATGTGATTATTTACCAACATCAAAGAACAATGAAAATGCAAATGTGTTGTTAAATAATTACAATTAAAATCAAATGGGGCTCAGCTGACAAAAAAGTTTGGGAATTGCTGCACTAATGATTAATAAAAATACATGCCACATTAATATTGGTGAAAATAGTCCTTTGTCACTTACATTGAACTATTTTATAGATACTTCTGCATTTGAATAAGTTATCTTTTTAGGCAGCACAATTTTGTGCTTACTGTTGTACTCTTATGCTCCAGTAACTCTAGGTGAAGTGCTATCTAGGCAGGCAGCTCACTAGGTTTTGGAACTATTAAGAACTACCTTAGTCAAAGCTTTATCTAGAGGACGTACATTATAATTAAAAATTTGATAATACACACAACAAATAATGATGATTTTGTATTCCTACAGGCTGTAATCTACCCCTTGTTCTTTTCTTCTTCTCTTTCTTTCCTTCTTTCCTTTCACGAGCAGAGGTTGTGGCAGTGATTGTACTTTTGCTCCAGATTTTGCTGTGCTATTTTTAGGGTGTGTGGGTGGGTTGGCTCTCTTATAAAGAGTGCTGTTGCTGTATGTGTGTGCGTGTGTGTGTCTGTATTTATGTGTGTTCTTAATTCAAAATGGTATGTGTTGAAACCGAAACCGTAATTAAAGTGTTTTGAACACAGGCTCATGCACACAATGCATGTGTATATCGAGTCCACATCTTGTTTAAATTAATTTAACTATTTTGATCTTTCTCAGACTTTTCAGTGCTTTCGTTCAGTACTTCATTATCATATAATTTTGTAAATAATATGTGTCCACACATAAATACAGATAAACCTTATGAAAAACTATACAAAAAATGCCAGAGCATTATAAAAAAATATATCTATGCATACACACCCCAAACATACACTACTGTCCAAGTTTAGAACTGTTTTCAGCATTGATAATAATAAGAAATGTTTCTTATTATTATTAGAATGATCATTAATGGTTGTGTGTGGATATATTGGTAGGTTGGTAAGCTGTATAAAGATATCCCAGGACACCAGTGATTTCAGTGTCTACGCTCAAAGCCAGTGACACACCCATGGTTTACCACACACTGGCTCTAACACACTTTACATTCACTTTACATTTACATTCACACACACAGGGAAAGCCCCGAGCTTGCAGGAGCAGAGACAGTGTGACAACTGGTGTGTCTCTCAGTTTTCCAGATTGTTCTGGGTGTGTGTCAGTGTTGTTTAGTCAAAAACTCTGTATGTCTTTGTATTATTAAAAATAAATAATGATCAATCCTTCTTAAAAGCATATTTCAGATACTGTTTGTGCAGCAAGTCAAGCTCTGTTCAAGATGCAACACACACAGACTGCAGACAGACAGAGTCGGCATGAAATTGCAGAGTCACTGCAGTGCATCAATACTCATCAGAATACAACACTCACAGCCTGCCAACTCGCAGACCTTGTGTGTGTGTGTGTGTATCTGGGTGTTTTGTGTGTAGTGTGTACGTTCTAAACCAAAAGATCTCTTTTGTGATGAAACCTGTTTTTTTTTCTGTCTCTCTCAGCCCAAGCTAATGGCGAAGGATCTTCTAGACCTGGTGGCATCCCATTTCAACCTGAAGGAGAAGGAATATTTTGGAATCTCTTATGTAGATGAGACGTACGTATACCCAAGACATCCTATTATATATTACATCTGCCTCTAACCTATGAGAAAAGGTGTAATCATGAACAGTTCAGCTCTCTGACTGTGCCAGGACTGGATGAGTGAACATGCTGTGATAATTCCACAGGGAAATTATTGGCTTCACTCTTTCTCCTCTCTTCACTTTCTGCGACAACCAACTCTTCATTCATCCTACACAGTGTGACCTACCGCTGTGTGACATTTGTTAGTTGTATCTTCGCATGATTTCTTTAAGGCACCCACACACACACACACACACACACACACACTCACTCAAGAGAAGCGTTCCATCTGTTCTCACTGCTGGTGTGCTTGGGGGAATGTGTTTTTTGTAGTTCCCAAAGATTTTGAAATGTTGTCTGGTGACCTTTGATCCGCCCCACCGTACATCCTTCCCAACAAGGGGTTGACAGTTTGCATTCGCCAAGGACAACATGCAAATGGACAAATGCATTTCTGTCAGAAACACGCACACAGTGTGAGTTAAAGAGGCACAATCATTTCCCTATACAAACACAATTTAAAACACTTTTGGTTGTTGCTTGTCAGTGTTACAACCATCCGTATTAAAATTGTTCCACCCAGAGCACTATAGAAGCAATTTTACTCATGTTCTTTAAAAAATCTAAATAATATGTTAATACATTTTATAAATACTTATGTAATTCATTAAATACTAATATCTGTGTGTATATATAAATATTTATATAATGTATTAATATATTATTAGATCTTTTTTATTATTTTATAAAATATATAAGTAGGTAATATAATGTACTGAGGAGTGTTTCCCCTGCCATTATATTAGGGGGGCGGCCCGCCTCTATAGCGCCAGATCACAACAGAAGTTATTTAAAGTTACCTTTCCTATAGAACAGGGCTGTACCTTGTTCTTTTAGTAAACAAACGAAATAGCCTTATGTTATTTATCTTATTTACATGATGGCATGTCATTTGTCTCTACGTTACATGGTCGCGCTCTCTGTATCGCGCACAGTGGAGTTCCGCCCCGATGCGTGCACACAAGTGAGCCCACTCCCACTAGTATTTGTAAATATTAAGCCGCAAAACGACTATTTAAATATGAATTCTGCGTGTCTCTGTGTTAATGAATGGCGCAGACGGGCGGTTTTGTTTACTACTCATACTGAAGCGTGCATGACTCTTCCGGTGATATTAACGTCTGCCATCTCACTAATGAGCAGGGGCGGAGCCAGGGGGTGGCCGTGGCCACCACTGACCTAAGCTTGGCCACCCCTTTGGCCACCCCACTCAAAGCTGCAGTTTTTGTCCCTTTTTTTTGACAAGAAATGCATTTATTAAGACGCGGAACCGCCGTATCTCTTTATGACCACATCAAACGGGAGACTTTTCAGACGCGCACTTACACTTCGCCTCAGCGCCAGGTGCAAGTCAAACGAGCGCGGAAATTAAGGAACATGTGCCAAATGAGCTTCAGTAGAACAACAGTGAACTGCGGTCTGATGAGATGTTGTAGGCTATATCAGTAAAACAAACTTTCCTCTCCTGACAGCTGTTTTACCGTGCACACGGTGCACACTCTGCAACTTTACGCGAATATAAGGCGCTATATCGCTTCATCATAAATAATGCGTGCAAAAAACTATGAGCATACAATGTAGTTCTGTCGTCAGTTAAGTCATGAAATTACCAAAAAGGCGATTAGTGCATTCATGTATAGCATCACATTAAAGAAGGTCTCTCAAATGCATGTACTAAAATATTGTGCAATTCGAGATCACAATATACAATATAGGCCTACACAATAAGGCGCAAGCTGTTTTTTTGTGTGTGTAATTTAATGCACACGTAAATATGAACACAGTGCACTTACGCTAAAAAACATGCGCTATTTTTATTTTTTATTTTGTAAAGTACAAACGTTTAATTTAAAACCATTTAAATGCATAAAATAACTCATTTTATATTCTGGCATTTATGTGCTGTTGACTTCCGTCCTTCACTCAGCATTACTTGATCTAATTCACAAATATCTCAAATACAATTTAGTAGAAATTAATTGTATTCAGTTGTGTTTTAGGCTCTAAAACAGTCCAGTACTTTATAGTCAAACACATTTTTATATTGAAATAATGAAGATTTCTGTGCCACCCCAGACTGGTTGCTGACCCCTCCCTGGTCACCCCTATAAAAACATCCTGGCTCCGCCACTGCTACTGAGGACATAAATACATGAACAACATCTCCAGAACTGCTCTAAGAGTCACTTCATGAGCCCCCTTTATTTTCCAAAAATAAAATTTGTGTAATTTTCATGAATTAAAAGATAAATTAAATAACAGTTTTATGCCTTAAAAAAATGTAAATACACAACACAGAATTTCTGAGGAAAAAAATCATTAATCTATTGCAAGAATAAATGAAACTTGTTTTTATGCTTTCAAATAATTAGACATGTTAAAACACAGAATTTGGTAACAATAAAACATAAGGTTGGAAAAAATAAAACATTTCATAGGGCCCTAAACATGTAATTTTTGTTAAACTTTTGATAAATTGATGTTAAATTGTTTAAGTTTCATGATTTTAATTAATTAGCGATTAACATGTTTTTTGATTAATACAATTTAATTTAACCGTTAAAAAGGAGTCCAGAAAAATTAAAACGGAAAAAACAGAACCCCCCCAAAGCCGTAAACCTAGGGGAAACACTGCTGAGTAGAATCTACTTTTGGATTTATAATTACCTGTTAAAGGTTATGTATCTCTGTGCAACGGAATACCAATGCAATAGTTTCCTGAGTGCTTTTGTTTTTGTCATCACTGGCTAAATAATGCATGAAAATGCACATGCGATGACATCTTGAACATAAAACAGCCCTCTTGTGGCTCATTTTTCGCATGATGTTTTATGACGTTATGTGGCACTATGAATGAGACATTGTAAGATGTTGCAAGACATTTCCGGTTGCTGTTACAGATGCTATCAGTCATTTCTCTTGGGCTGTGTTTCAGGGGTCATTTCAGCTGGTTGCAGTTAGATCGTCGTGTTCTGGAACACGAGTTTCCTAAGAAATCTGGACCCATTGTGCTTTATTTCTGCGTTAGGTAAGTACAGCTGCAGCAAAAGCACAACAAAACCACAATAAACGTTTATATGTATACACATACATATTTATTATTTTATTTATTATTAATAACATGAGTAATATAAATATATAATAAACTACACATATAAAATAGTTATATATTACATATATATTTATTTTTTTAATGATTTTATTTATTACTAATACAATAATATATAATAATAATATATGTTTATCGACAGAGAGAATAAAAGAGAAACGTCCATATTACTTCAAGAAATCCCAGCTGAATATTAAAAAAGAAAACACTTAACACCTCCAGAATGAATTGGCATCAACACTTCGATCAGAGTGTTTTCGTGTTGGGGGGCTTGTGTATGTGTTTGTTTATTGTTTCAAATTAGCGGGGTCAGTAAATCACAGTTTACTGGCAGTTACCAGAAACACGTCCAATCAGAATACACCATTCCTGTCATTAACACCCCCAGCAATTTGAGCACCATGGCAACAGCAGAGTGTTAATCAGACTGTGTTTGAATTGCAGAGCATGAGCAGATATCTGCTGGGCGGGTTGATTCGTTTAGATTTTAATTGGATCTGCTTCGAAATATGACCAATACAAAGAGCAGCATGTATATTTATTGCTCTTGTGGTGTTTGTATGTCTCCGTGTGCGAGAGAGTTAAAGCAGGCACATTTGTGTGCTTCCTCGCAGTATTGTACTGCGTAAGTCGCAATCAGCACACCGTCATACATCACCACGCTCGCTGTGGGTGGATGCTGGTTTATTGCTGTCAAGCTCAGCATTAAAATAGCCCAGCATTTCACCCATTTGTTGGGACACACTTGAATTGCTTTTCTCTCGTTCAGTCTATTCCTCTTGCATCACTTTGCTTTTCTGGGTCATGCACAGACACAAACACTTAAATGCACGCATACGCACGCATGCATTTTGCTCTAATAGCTGCGTGCGGAGTTGTATGTCTTTTGCTTGAGCTATTGAGTGTCAGTGCAGTTTCAATTGGAGCGGAGGCCCAGTTTGAATGCATGCATGATGTCCTGTGTGAATCAGTGTGCGTGTGTGTGTTGTCCTTTCTGCTCGTGATTGGGCTATTGATTGAAGTGAGCTAAAGTCTTTGATGCGTGTAAGACTCTGTCTCACTCACATCTCAAATTAAACCAGCTGTCAATACAGTTTTAATCACTTTAATCTCTCTCACTTTCACTCGTTTTCTGTCTCACTCATTCCTCTCGCTCCTTTAAACCATGGATTCAAAACATGTGTCTTCATGTATCGTGTGTCATAGGGTTCATTTTAAGTTCAGTGTAGGCCTCAGTGTATGTTCAAGGTCATATTATCAGTTTGCATCTGTACGTATATCTATGCATGTGTATGTCTGTGTAACAGTCCATGTGTGAATGTCACAGCTTCAGCCTTCAGCTGAAATGAAAAATGTCATGCTGAGAGAGCTTATTTATTTTTGCTGATTTTGAGACAATGACTTATTTTTGTGTTTGTTTGTTGTTGTAGTTCCCGCTAACTCTAATCTGACTGCTAAATGAAGCTTGCACAGTGGAAATTGTTTTCTTTTTGTGGGTGATATAGCAGTGTTTATGATGCCCTCTAGTGATTGGTCTTTGGGTCTGTGTATATAATAATTTTTTTCTTTCAGTGAGTTCATTCAGACAATCTGAATGAACCTGCTAAGGAGGAATCAGAATTGGTTGCTCATACTGAACAATTTTGAATCACATGTTCACAACTAAACAATCATGTTTGGCAGTCTTAATATGTGAATTGTGTATACTGTATATGTAACTGTAATGTTTTTAAACTTTAGCCATATTTTGATGTGCATATTATTTTCTCTTCTACAGGTTCTACATAGAAAGTATCTCTTACCTTAAGGACAATGCCACAATAGAGCTGTTCTTCCTCAATGCAAAGTCCTGCATCTATAAGGTAAACTGTTGTCACTGTTCTATCACTAGAGGGCAGTATTAACTAATGCCCCTTTACATCCATTTGTTACTTCCATCTATGTCCATGGAGCACCTTAGGCATAAATGCCACGTTACAGATTTCTCTGAAAAATGACATCATGGCAACGCTGATTGACTTATGGTACTGTAAGAATGTTCAAAGTACCAAGCTCTTCACTAGCACATATTAACATACATTATGTTTATTATACATATATAAACTGTTATTCTAAAGTTTGGGGTCATTAAGGTATTAAAAAATATTTTATTCACCAATAATGACTTGAACTGATCAGAAGTAAACCATAAAGACTTAAACATTGTTACAAAAGATTTCAATTTCAAATAAATGCTGAACCTTCTTTAAAAAAATGGTTTCCACAAAAATATAAGCAGCACAACAGTTTTCAATATTGATAGTAATAAGAAATGTTTCTTGAGCAGCAACTTATTAGAATGATTTCTGAAGGACTGGAGTAATGGCTGCTAAAAATTCAGCTTTGCATCACAGGAATAAATTGCATTTAAAAAAATATTTTAATAGAAACCTGTTATTTAAAATTAAAATAACACTTCACAGTATCATTGTATTTTTGATTAAATAAATGCAGTCTTTTGAACCCCAAACTTTTGAATGGTAGTGTTTATATATAATGAATATAATAATGTACAGCTATATTTGCAATAGCTGTTTTGGTTTGTTTAAAAAAAAAAAAAGTGCTTAATTCTTCCAAAAACATTCTGTATTTGTAAATGTGTGTGTGTGTGTCACTGGTCACATATAGGGCTGAAGCTATCGAATATTATAGTAATCGAGTATTCTACCGAAAATTCCATCGAGTAATCGGATAAGAACAACTTTTTCTTTATTAAAGAGCAATACTAAATATACAAGAGAAAATAAGACAGGTCTCTTAAGCATACTGCTGTGTGCGTGTAATCCTTTAAAGGAGCATGTAGTTGCAAACACAGTGCGCTGTATGTAGTTACAGTAAATGGTAGGGATGCACCGAAATGAAAATTCTGGGCCGAAACCGAGAATTCTGGATGTGCTTGGTCGAAAACCGAAACCGAAAATGCTTTGTAATAATAATTTATCTTATTAAATAATATAAAGTAATTTTGTAAGACTTTTTAATTTAACTCAATTTTAATGACACGGAATTTAAAAAACACAAGCCAATAATGAGCAGAGCATAGCGGGGAGCAGATCAGTGAACTAGATTTGACCAGCGTTGCCCAGTACTGCAAACAGGAACAAGTATACTACATAGAAATTTCTTGTCGGCGCGTTATTTGAGCGGACTTAGCTTTTCCGGTGAGCATGAGCGGTAAATGAGCAGAATGCACATTGATAGAGCGGAATAATGAACGGAGCGTCACATGGTGCAGTGATGACGGCTGGAGGAGAGTGAAACCTGAACACTGCTGGGCAGCGCAGCATATATTTTCGGTGGCCGAAAATTCAGTGCATCCCTAGTAAATGGACTAAACGATTCTTGGAAGCACTTAATTTGCCTGGATGATTTTTTGTATTCGAGTTACTTGAGTTACTCGAGGAATCGTTTCAGCCCTAGTCACATACCACAGATTTCCACCATGAGCTCATTGCTCACACTTTACTCTAGAGTCAGCTTTCTAATACATGCCAGTACTCTGTGTGTGACATTCCTGAAATTCTTGTGTTCAGCAAAGGTAATGAATCGCTCCATTTGACTTGGTCATTGAAGTAATTAAGACCCCCTACACTTCAAAAAACCCTTCACATAAAACCCATGTGTGTGTATGTGGCTTTGTCCTGCTATTGATTACACAGGAAATAGCTGAAGTGATTTAGATAGACCCTTCAGTGATAAGTCAGCAGATCAGGTCATTAAAAGAGAGAGAGATAAGATAAGAGACAGATTAATGGAGATGTCCTGTCTGCTGTGATCCTGAACTTAAGGGTCTCTTTCTTCCTGTCTGTCTTCAGGAGCTCATAGAGGTGGACAGCGAGGTGGTGTTTGAACTGGCCTCTTATATCTTACAGGTAAGATCATGTCGGACTGTTTATCATTTTGTGGACCTTCATAAACCGTGCAATGAACTTTCATAAAGTTCATACATCTCAAATACAGTTGTGTAAGCGTTATAGAGTCATATTCAGGTCACTACAGTATTTCAGCCTGACAGGGTGCTTTATTTTAAATCTAAAACAGGATGTTTCCTTTGTACTGTAAGTTATCCATACGAGGGAAATACTTTGGAGAAATATGGTTTTCCTTTATGACTCTGTGTATGTGTGATCCAGGTGTAGTATCAGGTATGTTATGTGTGTTTGACCTTTTGGAGGATTCAGTCCAGATGGCTGCGACTACATCCCCTACTGAGACACACATGCACCGTTCTGTGTATCAGAGGATACGATCTTTCCAAGCGGTCTGGTCTACCATCAAACACTCATTATTGATACTAAAATATGTATTTTTTTCACCCACAGGAAGCTAAAGGAGACTTCACGAGGTAAGTGGCAGTTTGAATGAACGAATCACCTTCCAGTGATCTCTTTTACACTCACAAACTATCAAAAGTCTCTATCAGTGTGTCATTGCAGAGTGAAAGCAGATCCAATTTGGGTGTATATCAAACTCTCCTTGCCACATAAGCACATGCACACGATTCAAGAGAGATGGAGAGAGAGCGAAAGAGAGAGATATGGGGGTGTGAACCCTGGGAATGGAGACAGAGGGGAAGAAATGGAATGCAGAGGATAAACAGTGTTAAATTACACATACTAACCCCTGGCTCTCTCCATCTCACACACACACACTTACACAAACACTTTCTACACACAGTATCTCAGCTACAAATCTGTCACATGTGCATCCTTCCAGCTTTATTCTGTCACTCTGTTTTCTTCGACTCAATTTCCTCTACCTCTTACACTTCCTCTTAACCTCTCCATCGCTCTCCATGTTTGGAATGGAACACTACCATACTGCCCTAATTTTTGCAATATGCATTTTATATATAGTGTGAACATTTTGTGTATGTGGAATGCCCTGATAGTCACTGACTTTGCCAAAATGTGCATTATACAACCTGAGCACATTGTGAGGGATAATATATCCCACAATGCAATGTACTGTTCTTTCATTTCATGAGTGAACTGGAAGCAATATCAGTTGTGATTTTAACATTTCCATCTTGATTTATTAGTTGATCAGATTGCCATAAGTCAGATTGCCATCTTTACATAAATTGTTTGCAAATGCAAAATAATTTTTATTTTCAAGAATGTGAAAATTATTATCATTTGCACAGTTATTATTACAATTGCAATTATTACAATAATAATAATAATTAAAATATTTTATTTTGATTAATTTGCCTTTCTGTGTCTTCTGTCTCTGTTCTGTGATTCTGATTGACTGATTTTTTTTCGCTCTGTTAGGTGCTTCTATTACTGAGTATTTTGTGTTATTTTTACAGTAATGATGCTACTAGGGCTGATCTGAAGAAACTGCCAGCACTGCCTACACAAGCACTGAAGGAGCACCCTTCACTCGCATACTGGTGAGACACACACACTTATACACACAGCTGTCAGCTGATAATAGAGAGGTATTAACGAGATGTATCTGTTCTGTGTTCTCTGAGCACCATGGGAAAGGATTCCCCAGAATAATTCTCTAACCTAATTTTCCCTGAATTCTATTTGATGCGAATGAAGTGTTTCACAGATGCTGCCGTTCTAAGACACTCTCACTCACACACTCATATTGAGCAGGCCGGTGTACGTCCTGTTCTAAGTATGAACTTATCTCCTTCATGGTGTTGTATTTCATTGGCTGCGTCTCTGTACATCTGTAAGCTTTCACTCTTGTCTGTTTTTTGTTCCTGCAGAATTGAAATAGGCTGACAGCCACGTTCTCATGAACATTGTCATCTGTTGCCACTAATCTGTGTCTGTGTGTGTTGTGTTGCAGTGAGGACCGGGCCATTGAGCACTATAAGAAGCTAAGTGGACAGTCCAGAGGTCAGGCTATCGTCAAGTAAGAAAGAATATTGTCTTGACCAAAATGTTCCTTTAAGTTTGATGAACAAAAAGTGTCCAAATGCATTTTATCTTCACCCAAAAATGAAACTTGTCATCATTTGGTCACCCTCATGTCATTCCAAAAACAACTTCTGCAGAACGCAAAAGAAAATATCAGATATTTTAGCTGTTTTTTGTCCATATTATGAATCAGTGGTGTCAATGGCAACACAAACCTTAAACAACATCACATATGGTCACATGGCGTGCAAGAACCAATGAGATTTGATGCTTTTGGCTCCATTGACTTTTATTAGTGTTATTTTTTGTGTTCCACAGAAGAAAGCAAGCAATTTTTTTAGTTTTGCGTGAACTATACTTTTAATTTTGAACACAATATGTTTTCTTTTATGCTTGTATTATACTAAAACGTCTTTTAGGGAAACATTTTGCTTGAAAAGTGTGAAATTCTAAGTGTGCCTGAAGTATCCAAATACTTGTTTTTGCACTTTCAGTGCTGATAATCCTTTGCATGCATCCTACTTCCGAGATCCACTCCCATGTGTTCACTGCTATTGTAAATTGTCTGCATATGTAACATCCATAACATACTGTCAATTATTTCTTCTTTCTTCTCTCTCACAGTTATATGAGTATAGTGGAGTCGTTACCCACATATGGAGTGCATTATTATGCTGTTAAGGTGGGTCAGTGTGCTCAAAGGGAAAATTTATAATCACAGCCGTCAGTCACAAATACACACACACACACACACATTCTCACGACCTATAATACAGCTAGGGGTGCTCCAATCAGGATTTTTGAGGCCGATCGCCGATCACAGAAAGCAGTATTTGCCAATACCGATCACCGATACTGATCTTTTTAAAGCCTTCTTTTTATCATTTATAACTATTTATAGTGATACTCCAATCAGGATTTTTAGACATTTTATTCAGGGCCTGAATTTAATTTTTGAAAATGGGGGGAATTCTCCTCTTGTGAGAGGGGAAGCAGCACGGACTGTGCTTTCACACAGGAGTCCGCTACTGATCCGTGGCTGTTTACCACAAACACAACATTTATCCATTATTTTGATTTCAAATCCAAACACTGTCACTGAAAATGCTTTTTCAGCATTGCGATTCTTTTTTTACACAGTACAGTAATACAATCTTTCACAGACATGTTTAAACACAATAAATATAACCAACACATTATTCAATGTGCTTTTCTTTTGCATGCACTTAGATTTATATATTAAGTTGCTCAAGCAAGTGGTAGACTTTAATCATATGCATTTATGGTGTAATTACTACATTTTCGTGTGAATCCATGTTCATATTTACTGCAAAAAAATGCGCTGTTACTTTAATTCAGTGCTTGCAGCGCAGCAAAAATAGACTCAGTGCGGAAACAATCTCTGCATTGCTGCAGACGCACTGCACGTGGAACGCACTGCCGGACACCAACCGTGTGCAATGTGCACGCTTTATTAATCTGTTACCATGAGCGTGGAAAAAATACGCACCACATTCGCACTGCAAACGGAGTAATGTGAACCTGACATTATGTGTGTGCGCTCACTGCGCTGTGAGTGTGCATGAGCGCACGGTCTCCAGGAGAGCGTGCGAGCGCTGAATGGACGGCAGGCACGCCGATCAGCTTGAGATCGGCCTTTTTAGAGACCGCCGATCAATCATCCCAAAGCGATTATCGGCTGATAGTGATCGGTAACCGATCAATCGGAGCACCCCTAGTATCAGCGCTTGACTTAAGTGTTAAAGGATGCTTAAGACTCAGTGTGTTTAAGATAATCATGCTGTCATCAACCATGAGCTGACACTTCTCTGTTTATCGGCATGTGTGTGTGCGTGCATTAACGCTCTTTTTTTTCTCACTCTTGCTCTCAGGATAAGCAGGGTATCCCGTGGTGGCTGGGTTTGAGTTATAAAGGCATTTTTCAATATGACTACCAGGACAAAGTCAAACCAAGAAAGGTAAGACTGTCTTTCCTCTGTGGACTTACTACAGTTTGACTTCTTTTTGTCCTCCCTTCACATCTCTTCATCTTGGTCATCCCATAATAGTTTTACCTCCCTGATGGTAATTAGTAGTGCTTGGCAAAATTCATCCCTCACCAGTGGAACAAGTGAAACGAGACCTTAAATCATTCCACTTGTTGAGAAGAGGTGTGCCATTACTTTTTTGAGTGGTCAGACTTACTTGTCAGGCGATAAAATGGACAAATTACTCTTTTTCGACTTAGGCAACCACCCAGAACCAGTCATTTCTTAAAATGTAGCTTATGACAGTGCTTTTTAAGAAAAGCTCTTTGTTTCTTCACGAGGGAGGGAAACAAATCCCACTTCTCCTTTAAAACTCTCTGCTCTGCAGAAAATCCAGTGAATGTAAGCAGTTTCCCTTATGCTGTGTTTTGAAACTTAGCTTGAGCTGTGTGTTTGTGCATGTGTATGAATATGTGTTCATCACCTGGTCACCTTTGCTTAACCTCATGATGTCAGCCAAGAGAAGTCTGACCGTCTGACACTTGGGTGTGGTGACCTCTGGCGGTCTGACCCCATAGCGTTTTTTGTAACTTTAGACAGACTCTCAAACTTTCAGACAGACGATCAGGGACACCAGGTAACTGAAATGCTACAAATCTGTCTGTCAGAAGAAACGCTTGCTGTCGGAATGACTTTATTTCAGGTGTGTGTCCCGCTGGCTTTGGTTTTCCATTCTCACAGCACATACCCGTGTTTAAGTTCTCTCCAAAGGACAGGCAAAAACTTCAGCCTGTGGTGAGGAACAGAAAAACCTTTCCCAAAACCGCAAGCTAAAAATAGTGTTCAAAGCAGAACATCCAGCCAAGCGAAAAGCCGAACTCAGGCCTATTTACAGAGAAGGATCTGTTACAGAAAACGAGAGTTGAAATGAAACAACTCAGCAAAGGGCAGCTCAGAATGGAGGGAAGAGAAACCAGCGAGAAGAACAGACGCGTCTGCAAATACGCCACAGATGCAAACAAAACAAAATTATAGCTCTACTGACAAATCCACCTAAACCTGGATGACAATTTAAAGGGATAGTTCAACCAAAAATGAACATCATCATTTTCTCACCCTGATGATCCAAACCTGTAATGCTTATTTTTCTACTGCAGAATACAAAATAATATAGTTTAAAGAATGTTTAAACTATTTTTGATGATACAGTGCAACAACATTAGACCCTACTGACTTTCATTGTATAGAGGGAAAAAAATGAAATGGTAATAAGAAATGGCACTAGAGTGAGTAAATGATGACAATATGTTCAGTCTTGTGTGAACTATTATTTTAATCACAGAGAACAATCAGACATCTAGCCCTGCATTCAAATGCCAGGCTGCAACTTTCCACTGATCTGCATTTCATATGGGCCATTGCCACTAATGTTCTCATTACACATATGCACGTTTTAATGTTTTGATGATAAACTCACATGCGCTAATGGTTTGTGGCTGTTCTCCATCTGCAGGCAGTGTTTGTGAGAGACTGTGGGATATACTGTTAAATATGCCACACACTAAAAGTTGCAGACTTGGTGAGTGAGTGGTTGGGTTTGTTTAATGAGTTTTAAACTAATTTAAACCCTCTCCTAATGAGAAACCACAGAGCATTTGTGCCAAAGTGTGTGTGTAAAGTTTCACAGAGGTGTGACGAGTACATTTGTGGTTTCATCATGAATTGGGGTGCATGTGTTTCTCAAGAGCTATTGTCCTCTACCTAAACTCCCTCCGCAGCCTCGCTGACTCCAAAACCCACAACAGGAAACCCAGCTGCAGACACCCGCAGGATTACTGTCGCCCTGACAACACAAAACATACTGGAAACATTAGTGCGTCTGATGAATCCGGGACCACTCCCCAAAAACTGGCATGTGTGCGGCTGTTTCTGATTGGTTTGGATCAACTCATTAGCTCTACTAACTGAAAGATTCTTGCCTTGTAAAACATACAAACAGCATAGCCAATCTAAAAAAAAATGTATAGCTGCCCTTCTAGACAGATGTGACGTTATAGCTATGAATCATGGGATTGCAGCCCTTGAGTCACCTGTGATTGTTTTCATCCTGTCTGCTGCTAGTGACCTTTGACCTTTCCAATGCCCTGTCTTTTCTCATAAGCACTCGTTATAGCTCCGGCTAAGTAAATACCATGCCACACACACAGTCTTCCTGTACTCTCTGCATGTCTTTGTGAGAGAAAGGGGTGGGGGTTTGTTGTATTATTCTATGTACAGACAGACTGCAGGGTGGGCGTTGTGCGTTATAATAAAAGCAACTGCAGTGAATAGTCATAGTGACGAAACGCCTATGACATTTACACTGAAACTCCTTAAAATCTAAACTCCCTTATATAGAAATTTTCTGAATAAACAGGTTTTGGTCTTTAGTGATCTTTAGCTTTGTGCTTGAACTCTAGATAGGAATATGTTTTAATAAGTGGTTAGCTCTTCTAAAACCTGGTTAACTGTCTATAAAGGCAAGATTATAAGGCATCATGGTCTCAATTAAAAGTCAATTAAAAAAAGTTTCAAATAGCAGAAAACAAAATTATGCTCATTTCAGCCAAAAGCAGCATTGCATGTATTATTGGCAGATTAGGCAATCCCAGAATGCACTGAAAGATTTTATTTATTTATTTTAGAGCCCGACCGATATATCGTTTTGCCGATATGAGCCTGTCGCAGATATATCGTATCGGCGAATATGCCGCCGATATGAAACATTTTTTTTACAGAACATATAACGCAGATGAAATGCTTCTAAATGGTGTAATTACTTAGTTTGTCCAGCAGAGCGCGCTCCATTGTTTGCTACTGGCGACTCAGGTCAGTGTAGAGAATGCGCGGATGAGCTCAAACTTCACCCGAGTCCGCTACTTCAAATAAATTATCCGCCCGCCACCCACCACAACTATATTTGATCGTCACATTACAATGATTCTAATTCTTAATTTTGCATGATGATATGATGAATGGATTGTTCATTTTTAGGCAGATTCAGTGACGTTAGAGCTGATCTGTGCATCACTGCACGTGTCTGCGGCGCATACGGCTCCACAGCCACCAGAGCTGATCGCGTCCACTCTGTCAATGCTTGTGTTTATACCGGCCACGCCGCGGCCCAGAACTCATGCTTATCACATCGGTCACATCACATTTCCTAACTGGGTGTCTAGACGCGAGCGGCACGGTGCGGCATGACAAAATACAATAGAACCCATTATAATCAGTGATGCTGTCTACACTGGATGCGGCGCGGCGCGACACGACAAATCCTGACAGTAAACTGATGCCTCGTTCTATTTATGACATACTGACACAAAGTACAAATGAGTTTCAATGGTCGCTTTGTCGCGTCCAGTGTAGACATGGTGTGTCAGCATAGTTTGTCAGTACAGTCAGTAACATAGCAGATTGAAAAGTTAGTATCTTTCTGTAGTCCAATAGAAGGCAGTGCGGTGGTGGTTTGAGTCTGTTGAATGTGATTTAATGCTACGTTGTCACCTAGTTGGTGAGACTCAATGCTATAAAGTAAATAAACAATGTCCCCGTCTTTTACTCTCACAATGAGCTTATCATACTCGTTTGCTACATTAGTAGGGCCCTATGATTTCCGCGATGTGGAAAACGCAGACGGAATCACGGAATCCATTCGTAAAAACGGAATTTACTGTATAACGCGGAATTTCATGGAATTTGTCTTATTTTTGATGAATAAATAAAAAACAGGTCAGTACACTTAAATCAAATCGCGATATAGACTAGTGTCTGTGAATATTAAACTGCAAAAAACAATTTTAAATACAAATCCTAATGCTCTGCATGTCCATTTGATTACCAGAAAATACACAACACAGAATTATATATCGATATCTGTCTTTTTTTACTCCCTAATATCAGTATCGGCATCGGCCCCAAAAAACCCATATCGGTCGGGCTCTAATTTATTTTATTTATTTATTTATTTTTATTTTTTTTATGAATAAAAAATGCAAAAGAACAGCCTTTATTTGAAATAGAAATATTTTCTAACATTATAAACACCTTTACTGCCACTTTGATCAGTGCATTAATTAATGCATCCTTACTGAATAACAGTATTGGTTTCTTAAAGGGGTCCTATTATGCTCTTTTATAAAGTCTTGATTTTGTTTTGGGGGTATACTAGAACATGCTCTCATGCTTGGTGGTTCGAAAAACGCATTATTTTTCACATAATTTACATTATTACAGTACCTTTCTCCTCAGCCTGGCACAAACAGCTCGATTAATTTCCGGGTTTGATGAAGGCCCACCTTCCGAAAAACGAAATGTATTGTGATTGGTTAGCTGTCCCAGTGCATTGTAATTGACGAACAGCTTAGACGGTGTTTCAGTACTACAACGCCCCTTGCTCCGTCTTTCAACAAAAACTTTTTGGGCGAATCCGGCAGGCG